AAGTTGAATTTTGTCCCTTATTTATACTCAAAGGTATAGTCAGTACCATAGAATAATGCTAGAAGCTAAAAGACATGAGTGTTTTGTAACCCTTTAGATACTTCATATTCTCTAAGCACCTTGAAACATTACCCTCCTGCATAATTTTACGAATGCTGAATATAAAATGTAATAAGGTATTTAAAACAGCTTTGAAATTAATGTTATACATTAATATAAAAAGTTAATGTGTAAAATACTATAAAACATTTTTTAGGATATTGTTTAAATGGTATTTTCTTAAACTTAACATTTTTTAATACCAACTATGTGTCATAAATAATGTAATGGGAGAAGCATGAGGCTTAGAGTGAGAAAAATCTAAATTGAAATCCATTTTATATCTGGTTCATGGTGAATCATTTCTCTCAGTCTCAGTCTCAGTCCTCTCTTTGGTGAAGTTATTATTTACTAATAATATAGTTGTTATTTTACTAATAATATAGTTGTTATTTTATTATTATATTATTAGTAAATAATAATGTGGTTATTATTTACTAATAATAACTACCTTGAAGAGTTATTTAGAGGATGAATGAGATCTGGAAATATGTCAAACTGCTTTGCAAATTGTAAGGCACTATACAAATGTTAGGAATTACTTTTATTGGTTTTAAGCCAACCCATAGGCCCTTCCCACTGCAACCAAACATTTTGTAATGTGTCTGCTTAAGGAGGCATTTTTTAAAATTTATTTTTTAAGTAAGTCAATATTTCTCTATAGTTAAAAAACTATCTGCATTTTCTTATTTTTAAGGTATATCCCAGAACTGAGATTTCTAGCCTGAGCCTGTTTAGAATCTTCTGTTAAAACAGGTTGATTATATTTAGAATAGACTTTTTTACTCTCAATTATCAGGAAAATATTGCTAATTCCCAATAACAAATTTAAAATTGCACAAATGATGTCAAGCAACTCAGCAATTTCACTGTAGTGTCATCATATCTGTTATAACCCTAAAAAGAGTGTATTTTAAAAAGAAACATCATCCTTATAATTTAAGATTTGGCTCATGAATATACAAAATTCATGGTAAATCTGATTTTCTTTTACAGCAATTAAAGACCACTCCAAAGATGAATTCAGCCTTGCAACAAAAAAGGTCCTTTGCGACACCTTAGAGACTAGCTCAGCAACAAATTGCAGCAGTGTTCCTTCAAGCTTTTCAACATTACAATATGATTCTTATTACAGCCAAAGTATAGAAGCAGCTGATGACTGGTTTTCTGATGATTCTCTAGAGAAAAAGAACTTTCCAATGCCTGTTCTCAAGGAACCTCTAATGGAAAAAGCATTTTCATACCTGTCAACCATTCCATTAGAAGGATGTACTGAAAATGTACTGAATACGCCACTTTATGATGATCAGAAAGGTGACAGCATTAAGGAAATATTTTCACAAAGAAATACAGAGGTTGAAATACAAAAGCTTCAACATAATATTGAATAACTTTCTTCCTTTTGGAAACTTTGTATACACTAAAATCATGTAAAGTTAAAACTGAATTACCAGCTTCTGAGTCTCTTAACCTGTCCATACTAATATTGCTTTTCTTGCTCTTTACCATAGATTGGTCTACTTCCCTTGCCAATTCTTATTACTAGAAACAAAATTACAGGAAAAACTAGAGTGATGCCATGAATACTAAGCTTAACTCCCTTTATCTCATCAAAGGACATAATAAATAACACAAACGTATTTCAACATACAGGAGAAATACTTTAAGAAATCTTCAGCACAATGTACTTTTGAATAAACATTCACATTATTTCCTTATACTTTTGACATTTTCAGTTTTATTTCACTGTGAGTAAAGCTGGATGTAATAACTTTCATCAGCTTTCCTGAATTTTAAATATATAATTCACCCACCATTCAAATCTCATTATTTCATGATTTTGGTAAGCAGTATAACTTTCCTTCTCTAGGGAGGGGAACCTGGAACTGAAGAATCCAGAAAATAATTTTCTTTGTCCCTTCTATGTCTGTATCTCAGAATGGCCTCCCAGCTCTTACCCCACTATGAGGAAAATGTGAGCTGCTCTGTCCACAGGCATCTGAGCCAAGCTAGATAAATCAGAGTTCCTCGCTAATCTGAGAGACCCTTGATCAAATTTCCATTTATGGTTCTGAGGGATTTCTGACACCTAGCATCTAACTATTCGTGCTTTTTTCCTTTTTCCTATATACGCTGCATGTAATTAGTCCCCTTTTTTTCTTTATCTTGAGAAAAACAATTAACAAAGTATAATACTACTTTCTGTGCTTAAATCATACCAACTCATACCAAGCATCTGGTTAATTCTATTTGTGAGAAAATCTTACTGGATTGTGAGAACATCTGTATATCCACCTCCAAATCTAAATTAGCTGTTTCAGTTCAAGGTCTATAAGGAGCAGTAAAAATAATTTTTAGTTGGTCTCTATTGATGTCCTACCAACTTCTGTCTTACTGCCTTTCCCAGAAAAGAAAGTCATCTCTAATTTTGGTGAGCCTAAAACTTCCCTAGGAATTTGGGGTTGGAGATAAGAGATTGTAGTCATGACTAGTCTCTGGAATACAAGAAACATAAACTGGGATCCTGTGGGCTTCTATATCCTACCGCGTGGCAAAGAAAAAACAGCAAATGTGCAGGGAGAGAGCAGTGATGCATTTGCAAAGTGAAATGCAGAGGTGAGAGATCCGGAGAATGTGATTCCTGGCTTCCTCGGTGCTCTACCCCTTCTTCCAGCCCTTCATGCAGCCTGCACACGGCTTTGTAAAACACCCTTGTATCCTAATTATAGACTCCCCTTTTTGCTTAAGCTAGCAAGGTTTGGTTTCTGTTACTGGCCACCATCCCTGAGGCCTGTTTTTACCTGTTGTTCTTGGATTTGGTAAGGTACTCTTATAATTTTAGGATAAAGTATCCTTTTTGGATAAACTAGAGGTTTGTTACTACAACCAAAGCTTCCTAAAATTCTTATCATTACAAATGAAAATAAACAGATCGATGCATATAAAGTAATTGTTATATTATAATGATATAATAGAATTTCTTGAAAAACCTAACACATTTAAATGCTACTAAATACTAAAATACTACTCTATATTATAGGTATATACATTGTTCTCTTTGAAAAGACTAATGAGCTTGAAGTTACACCAGTCTAAAATAATCTTATTTTCAAAACCTGTGAAGATCTGAGATTTCATCATCCATGTCAGCTGACATTAGCCTGCATCAGTTTCATGTCTCTTGGGTCAGTGACAAAGGACAGGTAATTATTCAGAGCAATAGCAGCAGCAAAAGCATTTCCTGAGCAGTGCAAAGAGAACCAAATAATGCCTTTACAGTGGGTTGCACAACAGGCAAGGAACCCTGAGTTTAGGAAACCAAGTATTTTATAATGGCCCTCAAGCATGCCTACCTTTTATACCATAGGAAGCCACTATATCTCTCAAGGCTGTTTGCTGTATGTCCTTGAAAAGATCATTTGGCAGTCTGTGTCTCCACTCACAGGCATGCAAGAGTTCAAAAATTAACATTGTTATAGGTATTCATTACAATTCTTTTGATCACAAATACCTGAAAAACCAACTCAAATTAGCTTAGGAAAAAATATTTTATTTTGTAAATAGAATCCAAAGAGTAGATAAACAACTAAATGCAAGAACATAGTTATAACTGAGCCTCAGAAACAGATGGAATAGGTTCAAATTCCATCAGGACTTTTTCTATTTGTACCAGTCAAAGTTCAGTGAGGGGAAATGAACCATTATCAGCTGAGGGACAAAGGATTTGCTATAAGAATTTTCTCTTACACAACTGTAGGAGTGTCTGGGTAAGTGAAGGTTCAGGAAAGCAGATGGAAAATTAGAGAAGTCATCAGCCAGTCTGAGAAGCCACCTTGTCCAACTGCCACAATGAGAAGTGGTAGGGGAAAGGCTATGGGAATGTCTAGGGGAAGCTGTGCCTCTGAGTAACAACTGCCTTGGCAGTGTGCTGCCAAGCTTCTGGTGGTGGCCATAGCACCACTGTTCCACTGCTTGCCAACAGGGTCAGCAGTTAGAAGGGAGAGCTAGATGTTGGGAAAAACTGGACACATGGCAGAGGAGAGTGGGGACAATTTGGAACCCACTGTCTTCTCTGCAGTCTACTGCCATCTCTAAAAATGATGACCTTCACAGAGTAATGGCTTCTGCTTAAATTCTGCCTTCCAAATATTACACAAATTCCTCTTCTGGCCAACTTTAACCCAGAATCATACAGGGAAAAGGATACTGGGACACATAGTTCTAGCTTAATGAGTTAACAATACAATCACCACATTCTGCTCATCATCAATTAGGCATTCTTTTATACTTTAACCATATTTGAAACCTCCAAATTAAAAATAAATACCAATCATATTCCCATCTTACATGATGGAATATCCCTGCTATAACAAAAAATATACTAACTCTCTCCCCAAACGGGGATACAGATGCCTATATGTCACTTTGTCTTTGGGTGGCATTTGTTTCTCCTTCAATGAGTCACAGACCTCCATTGATTCTCTATAATCTAACAAATTATAAGGTTAGCCACTATTAACATATGCTAGACTGTAGAGGAAAGAAGAGGAAGAATGGGTATATATATTCATCTTGAAGTAAGAATGATATGCTGTCTTGCCAATGGGTTACAGACCCAGGCAAGTTCGCTATGGATTCAGTGTGACCAAAGAAATTGACAGCAAAACGTTCTTTGGGGTAAAAGGGTTTATTACCCGGTTTGTTCTCCCAGCGGCAGGTCAAGCACTAGCGTCTCTGCTCCCGCCCAGAGCACTGAGCTGAGCTCTCTATATAGTGCAATAATAGCTTATTGCCTAAAGGTGTGGAAGCAGAAGCCTAGCAACAGGCCAGTTACATCAACAAGTGGTTTAAGTTCAGTGAGGATTCTGGCCATAGGAACCCCAACTTCCTTACATATGCCCACAACTATTACCATCATTTCTATAACTTGTCACATGGTCACATATGAAACAGAAAACAAAATGTTCACCACTGGATTACTAGGAGTATAGTGAGAAGAGTCACTCCCATTTTTACTGCCTCTTTCTGGGACAGGAGAATCCTGGCCATGAGACAATCAGCACCATATCTTGGTAGCTGAGTATATAACACATCCTGGAGGACATTATCTGGGCCATGCAAAGAAAGTATTGCCAGCCAACTGGCACTAAACTGGGTCTTCAAAAGGCCCTCTCATCTTTGCATTAGGCTCTTGGCTTGAGTGATAGGAAAAAAATGTAAGAAAAGTAAATCTTATCAGCATGAGCTCACTGACACACCTCATTTTATATAAAGTAAAATAATTTCCTAATCAGAAGCAATCCTTTCATAATATGTTTGTGAATAAGGTACTCTGAAGTCCATGGATAGGGGTAATGGGAGATGCATTATGGCCTGGAAGAGCAAAGCCATGTCCAAAGTAAGTGCATATTCCCGTGAGAACAAAAGTGATGTCTTTCTCATTGTAGAAGTGGTCCAATATAATCAACCTGTCACCAGGTGGCTGACTCATCCCCGCGTAGGGAATGGGGAATCAGTGTGTTGATCCCTACTATTAGCAAATGGAACTCTCAGCCTTAGTGAGTGGAAATCCATGTTGCTAAGCCCATGAATAACCTCTATTCCTTACACCATAGCCACTTCGTTCATGAATCCATTGGGCAAGGACAAGGGTGGCTCTCTTTTGAAAGAGGCTGACTGACACTCATAGAATGGATCATTTTTGTCCACTAGATTATTAACAACTTCTGATATTGCTCTTGGGGCAGCATTAACATAAGACTCAAATTTATCTTCGCATTCTGTACCCATTCAGAAAAACTTATCTACATGTATCTTCCCTGGACTTCTTATCACTAATTTCCCAACTGTACTCCTGACAACTCCTGCAGCCATCCAGCCAAACCATTAGCCACTGCCAATGAATCAGTGAAAAGCTATACCTCTGAACATTTATCCTTCCAGGCTATACAACTAGATCCCCATTCAGTTACACCTACAGAGACTTTGTTTCACCACTGCCATCAGGGCCAAAGATGAGCAGGGCTGTGATACTCCAGCTATGAACTTTCAAATGATGCTGGCATATCACTGCAGAACTATCTTTAAATAGGTGCAAGTACTTACTTCCTTACTCAATTGGTGACAAGTCACTCTACTTGATGCCATAGCTATGTGTTGATAGAGAGAGACCATGGAGCAGGAGTGAGCCACAGGTATTGTAACCATTTCCTCATGCAGCTTCCTTGTGCCTTCAGAATCTGCTCTGATCCAAATTTATATGTCCTAATGCTATTTGTGATTGAATGCAGATATGTAGGCATAACTGCATGTCTTAGTGAATCAGACAACCCCAATTCATGGTGAGCAGCGTGACTCAAAGTTAACCTGGCGACCATTGTCACATGTTACT